GTCAATCACTGTATCCTCCTGGGATGGCTTTCCGAGTTGGGGATCGGTGGCCTGGCTCTTGTCTGGCTCCGGTCCTTCTTGGAGGACCATTCCCAGAGAGTCCAGGTTGGAGAGAGTGTATTTGCCCTGTGGCTTCTAAATTATGTGGTCCCGCAGGGCTCGATCATTTCTCCAATGCTGTTTAATATCTATATGAGGCTGCTGGGAGAGGTCATCCAGGGGTGCAGGGCTTCATGTCATCAGTACACTGATGACACACAGCTCTACATCTCCTTTTTTCCAACAACAGTGGATGCCCTTGTATGCTGCCTGGGGGCTGTACTGCAATGGATGCAGGAGAGTGGACTGAGGCTGAATCTGGAGAAGATAGAGGTTTTGAGGGTGGGCGCCCCTCCTATCAGTGGTTTGGGAAGCTCTCTTTTGGGGGTGTGTGACTCTCACCACAGAGAGTGTGGTCCGCAGCTTGGGAGTCCATCTTGACCCAGCACTTACCATGGAGTCCCAGGTAGCATCTGTGGTCCCTACCACCCATCTACATCTTCGGTGGATTGCCCAGCTGTGCTCCTATCTTGATGTTGGGGCGCTCATCAGTCTGGTCCATGCGCTTGTAATCTCAAGATTAGACTACTGTAATGCACTCTATGTGGGACTATCCTTGAGATTGATGCGGAAACTACAAATGGTCCAGAATACGGCCGCCAGATTATTAACGGATGAAAAAACACCAACATATTTACCCCACTCTGGCGGCTTTACACTAGTTGCCCATTCGTTTCCACTTTGACTTCAAGGTGTTAATGCTTACATATCAAGTCCTAGATGGTTTAGGACCTCAATACCTGACAGAATGCCTGCTCCCACCTAGCTCTACTCATGTCACTCAAGCTAGCCAAGGGCTTGACTCTGAGAGAGGCCCAGAAGGAGAGTAGAAACCGGGTCTTCTCGGCAGTGACCCCTCACCTCTGGAACATCTTGCCCCTTGAGATTCACCTGGCTCCCTCGCTGGGAGTTTTTAAGAACAAGCTGAAGCCTTGGTTCTTCAGGCAAGCCTTCCTCCCTTTCCATTTCTTAATTCCCTGTGTCTTATCATCTTGGACCTTTCTATGTTGTGTGATATTGTTTGTTTGAAATTTTGTTTGTAAGGCGCCCAGAGTAGATTCATTGAATCTAGATGGGTGGGGATAAAAGTTGGAAAATAAATAAATAAATAAATAAATAAATAAATAAATAAATAAATAAATAAATAAATAAATAAATTTTATATTCGTGGAGAAAGTGGGCTGCTTGTATCATGATGGGATCAAGATTGTTTGGTGGAGCATAATATAGAAAAGGTTGAGAAATGCTGCCTTAGAGTATAGGCAGAATGCAGCATGAAAAAAGATGGTCCTCAGGTGGCTTGGCCCCAGTCTGTAAAGGGCTATAGGTTTATTAAATCCTCATAAAGAGCTTTAGATTTGTTAAATTTATTAGATATCACGTCGAGTCTCCATTGACCTACAATGCATTGAAAACCGATTAATCCCATAACCGGATGTTTTTGTTCCATTTTTGTTCCATTTTGTTTTTTTTTTTCTGGTCTGTAGGTCAATTCTCCAGCTGCAAGTCGAACCTAAATTTTGCGGCCAGAGAAGTCTGTAACTCAAAAAGTCTGTAGGTCAAGCCATCTGTAAGTCGAGGGTTCACTGTACAATGGTCAAGGCTGGAGTGATTCTTTCACAAGCCATCTGTATGTGACCTAAAATGTTCTCCAACTCAATTGATGAGCTTAGTCTCTCATTTAAGTATCTGGCATACAGCTTACCCACTATAGAGAGAAGGCTGATTGGTCTATACTTTGAGGGTTTGTTCTAGGACAGCTAATGAAATTACTACTTATGTTACTTCAGAAATGTACCTCTGTTATGCCATCATTATTAAAATAAATAACATAAGATTTATAGTTCATGATTCCATGCCAGGGAAGCACCACCTTGTTAATGATGGGCAATTGCTTGGCAAGACATGTGTAAATCGGTAATAAGATTCTAGCCAAAACTTCGTTTTGCCGGCTTGTTTGATCATTCTTTACCTGCATTCTTTGCATATTGAATGGAGAACCTTTGCAAACGTACCAACCAATCATGCCGGAGTTTGCTTTTCCCCTCCTCCTTCCCCATTGGCCATTCATTTTGTTTCAGGTCATGCCAGGTAGTAGTAACCTTTTGGGCCAAGGCTGCCTTGTTTTTCTAGCTCTTACTGTTCTTCTGATTGGCCCATTGCTTCGGGGAGAAAGCGGGGAGAAGGAAGATCCAGGGGCCAAAGATCAGAGGCAGTTCCTGGAAAGTGAGATACAGCCTTCATTTGCAGGTGGATTACACTGACAGAGCAGCTTGAAAGGACTGAACCTTTGAAGGGAAAAACAACAACATACTGTGAACCTAGCACCTCATCAAATTCTCACAGACATTAAATTTTAAGGTACGTATGAGATCTTTGGGAGCCAAGCAGGAGGGTCTAGTATCTTCTTGGGGAATGAGTGCTTCTTGTTGGTATCTGCCTGTCTTCATTTACAGTTCCACACAATCAAATGGATCCTACTTTAGCTAAAACATGTTTTCCTTTTTTAGAACGGTCACCGGAAATCCTGAAACAAGGCGTGCATCCTGTGGGGTTAATGGAGGCCAAAGGGTCCCCCAGTTTTCTCTGCCACCTTTTAGGCTTTGTGAAACCGCTTGTAAAGAGCAACTCAAAGTCCACAAGATGAGAACCAGTTTCGCAGACATTCTGTGTAAACTCTATGTATGAAGTCTCGGTTCATGGGGGCAGATGGCTGTCCTCTCACCCTTCCTTTCCCTTCTTTTCTCTTTTTAAAAGCAAATACAGGAGTATAATGATACCTTTTATTAGATCACTAAAAATCCAATACATTCTAAGTTTTCATGGAGAAAATGCTACTTTATCATGCTGGGCACCACCACTTGACTGAGATTATAACCAAAATTGTAGGCAAGAATCACCAAATATATATATACTTAGTTTATTCTCTTGGTCAAAGAAAACAATTAAAAGTCAAGTCAAGTCAATGGAATTGTTTTTACCTGATCAGTAAGAGTAGATGTACCCTTTTGCCACCTATATAGAGAAAATACCTTGGGCTGAAGCACAAGGCAAGGGAAAGGAAGGGAAGAAAAGTTACTTTCCTACAGCTTTGCCAGATGGATGCTACAGAGACTTAAAACCTCATATTATATATATATATGAACTGGCTGTTTGGTTCCTCATAAGAACTTCACAGCATGGGAGTGATATGTTGGAAATAATACCTTGCAAATTAATTACTTGAGTTTTATGACCCAAGAATGCTCTCATATTTGGAAACTAGCACAACCTCAAGTGCTCTGGGTAACTAGTAATATAGCCTCTTACAGTTATGACAGGTCCATTAGGAAATTTAAAATACTACCCCCAGCCCATGCTCAGTTACCCCTGATTATCTCTCTCCTGCCTTCCTCCTCCAGGCCCCTGATGTGTACCCTTTCTACTGTGTGTGCTATATGAATATGTGCTTGCTTCCACGTGAAAGTAACTGGAGACTGTGCTTCTGTGCAGAAATACGTATTCTTAGCCCTAGCTCTGTTTACCATCTTTGCCCCCCCCCCGTGTTGACTCTTCTGCTCCACCACGTGCCCTGAGGTCAAGCCAGAATCATCCTAGTTATAAAACTATTTTGGAAGCAACATACTTCATGTCTTTGCCATTCTCTTATCAATTCTATGGGTCTTAAGAAATGAAACAACCAAACCATTTCCCCTACTTCTAACTTAAAAGGCTACATCATAACATCTTCTCCCTCCTTTTTCCCCCCATGGATATTCAGTTTTTCGATGACAGAGAGGACCTGTTTCACCTATAAGGGGATCCCTCTCCCCACAATGGGCTACTCCGAGGAATCACTAAGTTATATGGAAAACGAATTCCAGCTCCTTGATGATGATGTGGTGACTGTCAGCTATCCTAAGTCAGGTGGGTGCTTCAGTGGAATAATGTTCACCCCCTTGAATAGTTTCACTACTGGAATTAATATTAGCACAGGGCCCCTTTAAATGATGAGCTTCCACATTGGCTTCCATAAAAAGATGGAAGACTTTGACGCAGAATTTAATGCAGCATACTGAGAGTTTCCGGGAGGGCCACAAATGAAGAAACTGAAGCAGATGGATAAGTAACAGGAAATCATAAAACCCGTAAAAAGCAGAAAGTTTGAATACTTGAGTCTTGTCATGCAAAATGATAGGTACAGATAGTCACAGCTGAGCATGCAAAAAAAAAAAGATAAATAGGAAGGATGAAGGATATGGGCTTAAAGGCTGAAGAACCTTGCAGACTGGCTGAATGCCGCATATCCTCATAGTGTAGAACCTCCCTATACAAAGTCAATGTCATGATGATGTCTAACTTTGACAGCAGAGCAAGGGGGAAAAATCTCTCTAGTGATAACGAATGCGTCCTACTGATTAAGAAAAACTTGAAAGGATGGATGAATCCCAGCAACCACCAAGTGGCTTATGGGAAATTGGCCAGTGGTTCATCAATTGAGCATAGAATCTGAGTTACTCACTGACAGCTCAGAAGGAACAAACTAGAACGAATAAGTCCCTTGTCATTTATTCTTATTTGCAATGACTGAACTTTATATCATAGTTGCAACGTGGCAAATCGTGTCTGTTATTTTTGCCTGGAGTTTCTCTGTGATTTGATTTTGCTTTAGGAAAACCTATTTGTACACCCTCCTGTAAATGTAAATAATATTTCAGTCAAATGAAACTTACCTGATGGCCAAAGTGATTAGATCCTTTATTGCAACAAAAAGATATACAGAAGTTTTCATCTATAAGATTTGCAGAGTGGATGCAATATAACCTCCCAACTTTGGTTCACTTTGTACCATAGACCAAGGTTTAATTACATGAAAGAGGATTGTGAAAGAATATTCAACCTTGAGACTAGTGCGCGCTTCCTCCCCCCCCAGGTACCAACTGGATGTTGGAGATCTTGGGCTTAATCTGGCATGATGGAGACCCCTCATGGGTTCAGAGTGTGTTGATGTTTGACAGGTCACCATGGATTGAGACTGATGATGGTTTGAACATTGCCTTGAACTATCCTCCACCCAGGTTCCTGACGACTCACCTGCCATTCCAGCTTTTCCCTAAATCCTTTCTGCATTCCAAGTGCAAGGTAAGCAAGGAATAAAAAGTCATTGGCCAGAACCACTCTTAGGTCCTGTTGCTAGGTGATTCTGACATGGGAAATTCTAGGCTGGACACAGCTTATTTTTAAGAAGTTTAAGTGCTGTGTAGCAAACTGAGGGTTCAATTCTGCACTGTGGCTCCTAGAAGAAAAGCCAGCTTGTATATTGTTGCTCTTTCCCCATGACTTCTAAAAATGACCCAGCAGCCTGGTAAAGATGTTGGCAAAGGAAAAAAATGTTGGTAAACTAGGCTTTTGGGGGCAATCTGCCATGTTTTGGGTAGACACATAGAATGGTCCAGGTTAAGGAGGAAAATGGGAGGGGCAGATCTAACCCAGGGCTCAGTAAACTAGGTCTCTAGACCTCTAGCCACTTTCAAGATAGAGGGCTGGTCTAATTATATGTGGGTAGACCAGCCTTACCTTGTTGGAGGGCAGTTCTACATAGGCTGAACAAAACAGGTAATCAGCTCAGGATCCTGTTGCAAACATCTCTGGCTACTAGAGCACACTAAAAAGTTTCAAATGAAGATCCATCTACTATAAATCCTTTGACTGTTTGCATCATGAGAAGCTATAGCTCATTCTGAAAGAAACTGGCGTGCACCAGCACTTGATTGCCCTGATGCGTAACCTGTATTGTGGACAAAAAGGTACCATTAGGACAAAATATGGAGTGACTGAATGGTTTCCTATAGGGACAGGTAATAGCCAAGGGTACATTTCATTCCCTTATCTGTTTAGTTTCTATGCAGAACAGATCATACGGAAAGCTGGACTAGATTCAGGTGAAGGAGGAGTGAACATTGGTGGAAGAAATATCAATAATTTAAGATACACAGATGAAATAATATTGCTAACTGAAAGAAGTGACTACTTGAAATGAGTGTTAGTAAATGTGAAAGGAGAAAGGATAAGACAAAAATCATTGCTACCGAAGAACTACCCAACTTTAATGTCGACTATTTATTTATTTATTTATTTATTTATTTATTTATTTATTTATTCATTCATTCATTCATTCATTCATTCATTCATTCATTCATTCATTCATTTAACATATATGCCAC